TGGGTCTCGAACCCACGGGCTCAGGCAATCCACTCACCTCAGCCTCCCAAAGGCGCGAGATTACAGGCTGAGCCACCGAGCCTGGCTGTTTCTTTCTTTTCTTTTTATTTATTTATTTTTTTGAGTCGGAGTTTCACTCTGTTGTCCAAGCTGGAGTACAGTGGCATAATTACAGCCACTGCAGCCTCTACCTGCTGGGTTCAGGAGCTACTTCCACCTCAGCCTTCCAAGTAGCTAGAACCACAGGTGAGCGCCATCATGCCCAGCTAGTTTTTTAATTTATTGTGGAGATGAGGTCTCACCATGTTGCCCAGGCTGTTCTCGAACCCATGGACTCAGGCAGTCCTCTTGCCTCAGCCTCCCAAAGTGCTGGGATTACAGGCGTGAGCCACTGCGCCAGGCTCCAGCTACTCTTGTAATCCTCTTTAGCAGAGCACATCTCACTCACACTCCTGGAGGAATGTAGCCTGGGTCTTATTTCTTTTCTGACCCTCCCTTGATTTCTCTGGGTCTGCATAACTGCTTTTACTACATGAGGGATAATAATAACACCTGCCTAAGAAGACCTCTAAATTCCTGTTATGGTTTAAATATTTGTCCCCTCCAAAAACCATGTTGAAACTTAATCTCGCCAGGCGCAGCGACTCATGCCTGTAATCCCAGCACTTTGGGAGGCTAAGGCACTTCGAGGATTACCTAAACCCAAGGGTTCGAGACCAGCCTGGGCAACTTGGCGAGACGCCATCTCTACAATAAATCAATAAAAGTTAACCGGGTGTGGTGGTCCATGCCTGTAGTTTCAGCTACTTGGAAGGCTGAGGTGGAAGGATCGCCTGAGCCCAGCAGGTCAAGGTTGTGACATGCTCACAGCCACTGCACTCCAGCCTGGGCAGCAGAGTGAGACTCCTACTAAAAAAAAAAAAAAAGAGTAGCTGGTTGCACCCAGAGCCTTGGCCTAGGGGGCAGGAGGGAGGACGCCTCAATATGGATTCAGAAGCTGGAATTCAAACCTCAGCATGGCAACTTCATTGCTGCACCATCCTGGGCCAGTCACTCTTCATCTCTGACCCTCAGTTTCTTCATCTGTTCTATGGGGGAAATAACAATCACAGAGGAGAGCATTGAGGGAAAAGTGCATTGTAAAGCCCAAAGTACTGAGTCCTGAGGGCTCCTTCTAGACTGACACATGCACACAAAGCTGCCCCTGTCCTCCTGTCCTCTGACTGTCATTACCATGTGCTCATGCTAGTATACATGTATGCTCACCTGCTAACATTTGGCCACAAATCAAGGTGACAGCAGGAAGTTTATGAGCCAGCATTTTTTTTGTTTGAGTTGGATTCTCACTTTGTCGCCCAGGCTGGAGTGCAGTGGCACACTCACAGCCACCCCAGTCTCAACCTGCTGGACTCTGGCGATCCTTCCACCTCAGCCTTCCAAGTAGCCTGAACTACAAGTGTGTGCTACAATACCCAGCTAATTTTTTTTATTTGTTGTAGAGATGAGGTCTTGCCAAGTTGCCCGGGCTGGTCTTGAATCGGTGGGCTCAGGCAATCCACTCTCCTAGGCCTCCCAAAGTGCTGGGATTACAGGCTGAGCCACCGAGCCCGACCTCGAGCCAGCAGTTTAGTTTATAAAGTGAGTTTTCAGGCGGGGTGCGGTGGCTCATGCTTGCAATCCCAGCACTTCAGGAGGCTGAAGCGGGAGGATTGCTTGAGTCCAGGAGTTCGAGACCAGCCTAGACAACATGGCGAGACCTCGTCTCTACAAAAAGTGAAAAAAATAGCTGGGTGTGGTGTCATGCCCCTGTAGTCCCAGGTACTTGGGAGGCTGAGGAGGATGGATTGCCTGAGCCTAGGCGTTCAAGTCTGTGGTGAAACATCATCATACCACTGCACTCTAGTCTGGGTGACAGAGCGAGACCCTGACACACAAAATAATTTAAAAACACATTGAGTTTTCATCCTTTCTCTCTGACTGGATCTAGTCATTAATTCAGTTTTGTGGTTGAAGACCCTGACTCTTGAAGGGGGAAAAAAGACTGCCCAAGGTCTTCCAGCCAGTGAGCGAAAGGGCCTGGAAACCAAGCTCTGCTGGAGGCCAGAACCCATCTTCCCTTAACTCCTCCCTTTTTTTTTTTTGAGTTGGAGTCTCACTCCATTGCCCAGGTTGGAGTGAAGTGGTACGCTCATGGCCACCCCAGAGTCAATCTACTGGGCTCAGGCGATCCTTCCGCCTCAGCCTTGCAAGTAACCAGAACTACAGATGCACTCTACCATGCCCGGCTAATTTTTTGATTTATTGTAAAGATGAGGAATTGCCAAGATGCCCAGGCTGTTCTCAAATCCGTGGACTCAGGCAATTCCCTCACCTCAGCCTCCCAAAGTGCTGGGATTATAGGCTTGAGCCACTGCACCCAGCCTAACTTCTCTTTTAATGGTCAGGAACAAGGTTAGGACAAGGCTTGCCCAGTTTTTGGTTTTTTCAGTTTTCTTTCTAACTGTTGGCTCCTGGACCCAAGATGCCTCGGGCAAGTTCCAGCTTCCTCCATAGACCATCTTCCTTTTGCTAGATTCTCCCTCCCTCCAGTCTCAGGCTTCAGCTTCATCCTTTGAAGGACTCTGACATAAGGGATCAGCGGGTAGTGGGGAGAGGGGTGGATGAGAGGGGCGCTGATGAATCAAATCAGAACTGAGAGAATCATGCCCATTTTACAAATGAGAAAACAAAAGGTCAAGTGACTTGCCTGAGGTTACCCAGCCTGACTGTGGCAAGAGTAGCTATTTTGCACTTCAGGAAGCCACCTTCACCACCCTCTGACCCTCATCTCTCTTATTCCTGGCACCATCTGCAGGAGGCTGGACCACAGTGTGACAAGGATACCTCAGGACAGGTTACCCAACATGGAGGAGGCAGGTGGGCCCCCAGCCCGGGCCGAGGCCCGAGTGGTAAGTGCCACACTGACATGGCGGCATCGACCTCCTGCCCAGGAAGAGACCAGACACCGCTTTCACAAGGTGTCCTTGGTGTCAGGGGCCCGAATGGAAGCCCCCCGAGAAGAGATGTTTGAATCCAACCACCATCGAGAGGAAGTAAATGGCTTTACTACACGGGAAGAGGAGACTGTGAATTACACGGGCCCTCGGGATGGGGCTAGCTTCAAGAACTTCCAGAGTCATGGGCCCATCTTTTCCAGGAAGTACACACCAGCCCCCAAGGAGAAAAGGCCAGTGGGGAGGCTGAAGGAGGCTGTGGACCAGGGTGATGGCCGCCCCCAAGCTCCCAGGACTGAGCCACCAGGCATGGGAGCCATGGCCAGGGCTGAGCTCTTGGTGCCCCTGCCTGGGCCCCGTGAGCCAAGCCCCCACCCAGGTGTGGGTCTCACCAGCGGGAGCTCCCGGATCTGTGAGGAACGGCGGGTGACACGCACTGTGAGGACCACCACGGTGGTGGGAGGGCATGTAGACCGGCGGGTGAGCAGCTCTGTGACTGTGGGGCCAACGGTCTCGGGTGAGGCCCTGTCAAGGGGCCGCAACGTTGCCCGCACGGTGCGGGCAGTGGTGGTCAGCCCCAAGGCTGAGGGCTCGCCCAGTCGCAGCCAGGCCCTGGAGCTGCTAAGTAGCCTTGTGCCTGCTGAGCACAGCATACCTGCCAGCTGCCAGCCCAGGCCCACAGCTGTCGTACCAAGGAGCCTGGGTATGGGTGACACAGTGGGGACAGCCCTGGGGCAGCTGCCTGAGACCAGGACAGCAGAGCTAAAGGACAGCTCTGTCTTGGTCCCTGTAGGCATTCCAGCGGGTGCTCACCTGCCTCAGAACCAGGATGTCCCTGTGGCCAGCCCAGACCAAGACCAGAGCAGAGCCCCTGGTGTGGGGGCCTATGAGTTCCCAAAGGTGCAGAGAGCCTCCAGCCCCACTCAGCTCCCTCTCCAGACTTCTCAGAGTCAAGCACCAGTCCCTTCCTCTCCCAGACTCCAGACCCGTTCTCCCACCCTGGCCCCAGCCCAGCCCCCAGAGCAGTTGGTGGTGCCCACTCACCCCAGGACCCAGCTCACTCCCCATGTCCTGCCCCCCATAACAAGGGAAGGACTCACAGACCCCCCTCCTGCTACCACTCTGCCCATGGTGAGGAGCGAGCGTGTGACAGTCCCTGGACAAGCGCTTGCTCCATCTTCTACAAGAAGGAAGGCTGTCCCCAGCCCAGGAGGTCTTTCTGCTCCATCCTGCTCAAGGAATAAGTTTGTTCAGGACTCTGAAAATGTCCCTGTCGTCTACCTTACAAAGAACGAGGTAGTGCAAGGCCCTGGTGTTCCTGCTGACCCATCCCCTGCTCAGAGAGAGGTTTTGCAGGGTTCTGGTGCCCCTCCTGCCTCGTCCTCCAAATCAACCAAGGATGTCCAGGGCCCAGAAGGCAGCCCTAGCATCCAAAGAGAGGTTGTCCAGGGTATTGCAGGCAGCCTTGACCCATCCCTCACTAAGGAAGAGACTGTTCAAGGCCTAGCTGCTCCTGCTATCCTGCTCCCCAAACAGGATAAGCTTGTCCAGGACTCTCAAGGGAGCCTCGTCTCATCTCTCACTCAAAAAGAGGTTGCCCAGGGTCCTGGTGCTTCTGTTGCCCCATTTTCCACCCAGAAAGTGGTTGTCGAGAGTCCTGCTGTTCTCCCTACCCCACCTTCCTCCATGGACAAGGCATCTCCCAGCCCAGGAGGCACCCCTGCTCCAGTGCCAACAGGAGCAGAGGCCAGCATAGAGTCTCAGCTTGTCCCTAACCCCACCGAGGGCAAGACGTGGCCAGAGCCATCGGGGGAGGAGGATGAGGTGGCCCTGGCCGCTGACCTGGAGGTTTTCCTGGACACCCTGCGGAGCATGGAACCCCCTGAGATCCTCCGCACTCACCGGCTGCCTCGAGCTCCCCGCTCCTCCTACCTGGCCATGTACGCCACACTGCCTGCTATTGAGGAGGACCAGCCTGGGCCATGGGTGCTGGGACCCAGCCCCCAGGAGGTACCTACACTGGAAGAGAAGGAGGAGGAGGAAGAGGAGGAACCAGAGAACCCCTATCTAAGCGACGACGAGAAGCTCCAAAGGAGGCAGGAGAAAGCTGAGCCCAGCCCCTCCTGGGACCTTCGCCCTACCAGGCCAACCCAGGTCTCCTACTCTCCCTTGGAGATGATGAAGAAGCATGTAGCAAGCACCAAGGGCTCCCACCCAGAACTGGGACTGGAATTGCAGGCAGGCAGCAGGCCCACCTCCCGTCTTGGAGGCAGCCTTCTCTTTGGCAGTCTGGTGCCTGTCACCAAGGAGGCCTCCACCCTGGAACCACTGGGCACAAAACTATCTGCTCTGCCGCCCCATGGAGCACCGGGGCTCAGGAAGGTGCCAGGACAGTTGCCCTTGCTCTGCAGCGAAAGGCCACCACCAGAGAAGCCTGCACGTGCCCAGCACCCGGAGGAGTGGGTGAGTGAGGACTTAGGCGGGCAAGGGAGGTGCCTGGCCTCACCTGGGTCAGGGTTTGGGTGATGTGAGGAGAATGGTACTGGAAGTCAGAGTCTCTCGGAGCAGGAAGCTTGGGTCTGCAGTCTGGCTCAGTTGACCTGTGCAAGCCACATCTCTCTGGGCTTCAGTCTACCTATCTGAACAGCAGGAGGTTTCACTGTGGGTTCCAAAAGGCTTAGTGGCTCTGATGTCCCGGAAGCTGGGGAAGGAGAGTGATAGGTACCCAGCTCCTGGACAGGGCGATGAGGCCCCTGGGGGTTGGGAACAAGCGTGGCATCCTCTGCAAGTCAGCTTCTTGGGGATAGAGGCCAATAGGGAAGATGTAAGATCCTCAGAATGGCAGGTTGTGGGGAAGCAGTAAAGAGGTGACCCCATAAGACCTCTTATCACCCCCCCCCCCCCCTCAGAGCCCAGCCTTCAAAATCCAGGGCAAGCCGAACACCAGGCCTGGAAAGGTAGGATGCAGGACAGGTGGGTGGTGGCAGCAGCAGGGGCCTGGGGTCAGGGTCAGAGGACCCCTTCTGTGCCTCCTCAGGTGATCTTCTTCACGGAACCCGGCTGCCAGGGCGGCAGCAGAGAAATCTGGGAAGATACTGCTGATGCCTCAGGCTGGGCCCTCATAGCCTCCATCAGGGTGGTGCGAGGCTGGTGAGTGGGGAGTGCCTGGCAGGGGTCCTGGCTGCGAACCTAGGGTGGGGGCAGAGGGCAGTGAGAAGTACCTGGCAGAAACCCCATCGGCTACCCAGAGAGCCTGGGCACATTCTCCTCCCCACCTGTGACCCTGGGGTCTCTGTGCCCACAGCTGGGTGCTATATGAAAAGCCAGAGTTTCAGGGTCGGAAGTTGGTCCTGTCTGAAGGAGATGTGGAACTCAGAGCCCAGGGACTAACGTGGAGTACCCAAGGCATCGGTTCCCTGAGGAGGGCTGTCCGGGTAAGTGAGCTGGAGGAGGGAGACAGTCTCCAGTGCCTAGAGTTGGCATCTCTGGGAGAGATCATATGAGGTAGGGAGCGGAGGGGTCTTATTGTCAATTGGCCTATGGATTCCTGATTTTGGAGCCAGGTGGGGAATAAAGGGATTCTGGGGAGTATGCAGGTTGGCTTGGGGAGTCAGGGGCCAGGACACAGGGAGTCAGAGACCAAACCCCCGCTTGGGAAAGCAACCTGGGGAAGTTTGAGCTGGTGCTGGAGCAGGAAGAGGTGAGAGCAGCCGAGACAGGATGGGAATGGATGTGGGGGTTGCCTGCCACCCAGGGGCCGGCTCTCACATCCAAAGTCAAAACCGAGGTGCCATGCACGTTTGTTCATTCATTTGGTCACAGAGGCTTACTCATGTCTACTGTGTGCCAGGCATCAGGCAGTGAGGATATCTGCTCTCTGCCCTGTAGGACTTAGTTGAGCTAAGGCTATGAGGGCAGGGTTTGAAGCAGGGATGCCGTGAAACCAGAGTGGGGATGTGTAAACATCCTGGAGCTGCCAGGTAGAGGAAAGTCTAGGGATTCCGAAGGCAGAGGGACCAGGAAGGGCTGTGATTTCCAGCCAAGAGGCTCCCCTGATTTTTGAGCAGGGGGTGTGTGGTTTGAATGGTTAACCTTATCGTTTCATATTTGTAAAGTGAAAATAACAACACTGTTTTCACAGCACAGATGAACAAACTATCAAAATTAATTTTGACAAAACCATCATGACCACTAGGAAGATGGTTTGGGTTTTTAGGTTTGTTTGGTTTATGTTTTTAATGAAAGGACAAATAACTGAGTCCAGAGCTGTTGCAATCTTCCTGGTAAGAAGTGATGAGAGCTGATTAGCCTTTAACTAGGGCAGTGGCCCAGGAGGAGGGGGTAGAAGTTTTCAAAATCCCTCCAGAAGCACACAAATGTTTGTGGACAATTAATTGTGAGCTTCTGATCATTAATTCATTTTCATGTGGGAGGTAATGAACTACAAGGGAAAAACAAAGGCTTTGGATTCAGAAGGTCCTGGATTCATTTAATTCCCTCAGCACTGATTGGGTATCTATTGTGTGCCAAGAATGTGGGAGGTGCTGGATTGCAACAGTGAACAAATACTATACTGCTCTGCTACTTACAAGCTGTGTAACCTTGGGCAGCTTGCTTAACTTCACTGAACCTCACTTTCTTTATCTGTGAATGGAATAACACCCATTGGGGAGGACTAAATGAGATGGGGTGGGACACGACCATAGCATGGTGCCTTGCGCTCCGTGGCTGGTTTGAAAACATTTGATGAATGAGTGAATGAAAATGGTCCTGGTGAGGTAGAAAATGGTCCTGGAGAGGATCTGCTGCATCCTGGGAGGAGATGTGGGCAAAGCCAGTCTGGACAGAGGTAAGAACTGTACTTAAAGGAGGGGGGGTCAAAGTTGGACCTTAGGAAGTGGCTGTCCATCCAGCGAGGCTTTCCAGAAGCAAGGGCATAGTGCTTTGCAAGTTCTCTTGGGAACTTTGGGTTCAGGTCTCAAAGGTCCAACAAGGGACCAGCAAGAGCTTCCGTCTCAGGTGTGGCTGACTGGCTTTGCAGAGAACACACAGTCACTCTCCTGGTTTCTGGGTGGATGGCCACTGACATTTTCCCAGAAGCCCCCTGAATTCCTGGCTAGACAGACTTGGGGAAGCAGGGGAAGTCCCCAGTGGCGGCTGTTTCACTTCATTTCCCCCACTCTCCTTCTGCAGGACTACAGCACCCCAGAGATCAGCCTGTTCTCTGAGGAGGGCCTCAAGGGGGAGCCAGTGAAGCTAACCAAGGCCTTGAAGGATCCCCAGGGCCTGGAGAGGCCCCTCCAGGTGGCATCTGCCATTGTCTCTGCAGGACTGTGAGTCTTGTTTATTCTGGACTTTCTTCATTTAACATTCACTGTGCTGTGTCCTAGGATCACAGAGGTTACAGGACACAGTTTAGGCCTTCATTTTTTATCTATTTTATTATTTTTTTGAGCTGGAGTCTTACTCTGTTGTTCAGGCTGGAATGCAATGGCATGCTCACGGTCACTGCAGCCTCGACTTGCTGAGCTCAGGTGATCCTTCCAAGTAGCTGGAACCACAGGCATGTGCCACCACACTCAGTTAATTTTTTGAATTATTGTAGGGATGAGGTCTTGCCAAGTTGACCAGGCTGGTCTCAAACCCATGGGCTCAGGCAATCCTCTCACCCTGGCTTCCCAAAGTGCCGGGATTATAGGTGTGAACCACCGTGCCTGGCCAGTTTAGGCCTTCAAAAGTGCTCAGTCTACTGATGGGAACAGGAAAGTAAACAGACAATAGCAATCCAGAGTTCTGGGGTGGGGGAACTTGGTCTCTGCATGGAAAAGCATCAAGCCCAGCCGGGATCAGTCGCTCAGTCTGTAATCCCAGTGCTTTGGAAGGCTGAGGTGAGTGGAATGCCTGAGCCCGCGGGATCGAGACCCGCCTGGGCAACTTGGCGAGACAGCATCTCTATAATAAATCAAAAAATTAGCCGGGCGTGGTAGCACATTCCTGTAATTCCGGCTACTCAGAAGGCTGAGGCTGAAGGATAGCTGGAGCCCAGCAGGTCGAGGCTGCGGTGGCCGGGAGCGGCCACTGCACTCCAGTCTGGGCGACAGAGTGGGACTCCAACTCAAAAAAAAAAAAAAAAGAAAAGAAAAGCATCAAGCCCTGAGGACAGGGTGTGAAAGTCAGAGAAGACTTCCTGGATGAAGAGACACCTCAACTAGGATGAGTTGGCCAAGAATCTGAGCTCCATGAGGGCAGGAATTTTGTATGTTTTGTTCACTACTGTCTCTCTGATGCCTGAAACATCACAGAGTAGATGCCTATAAATATTTGTTAATTGAAGACACGGGGAAAAGAGTATATCTAGCAAATGGCACAGCACATGCAAAGGCCCTCTGGTGAGAGAGCTAAGCTTCAAAATGTCAGCCTAGCCTGTGTAAGTAGCAAGTGGGGAGATATGAGGCCCAAGAGGAAGGAAGGGGCCAGACCACAGAGCCTCTTTGTGTAGCTGGGTTTTATTGTGAGGCTGAGAGGGAACTTATGGGGTTTTAAAGCAGATATGTGTGCTAGAAAGAACTCTCCAGCTACTGTGTAAAATTACAGAGGGCAAAGCCAGAGGGAGAGAGACCATTGGAGTGGCTACTGCATAAAATTACAGAGGACTGAAATGTCTTCCAGAGTCTCCCTGACTACCCAGAAGCCTCCTCCTCCCCTCTCAACCTTTTCTCCCACCCACCAAATGTTTTCAAGGTGTTCCTTGCAGTCTAGGGTGCAGCGGCTTCTCTGCCTTCCCCCAGGTGGTTGCTGTATCCCAAACCGTTCTTTGAAGACATTCCCTACATCCTAGAGCCTGGAGTATACCCCACCTCAGAGGCATGGGGCACATCAGACCCCAGCGTGGGCTCCTTGAAGCCCACGAAATTGGTAAAGAGCGGGAAATACCCATAGGCCAAGTCTAGGCTCTGCCCCGGTCCTAAGCAGCGCATTCCTACAGTCTGTGGGAATGAGGGGGAGGGGTGAAGTTTAAAACAGCACCCCTTGGAGACTAGTCCCTGGGAGCTCCCGCCAGAAAGCGGGTGAGAGGGAAGGGAAGATTAGCCCAAGGGGTGGGGGAGAGGGAAGACATGGGCCTGGAGTCTCAAGATCAAGAAAATCGGAGGTCTCCAGCGCCATCTGTCTTCCCTGCCTCGGGGCTGGTATCTCAGCTCTGTCTCCTCTGCAGGGCTGCCCAAGCGTGGAGAAGCCAGGGGAGCCCAAGGTAAGAGTCTGGGCCTCAGGGTGAGAGGGCCTTTGGTGGTGGTGGGGAATATGTGCCTATCATGGCCTGGACTTGAAAACCAGAGAGGAGGGTACCGGGAGCCTGAAGCTGAGTCTGACAGGGTGGAACTTGATGGACTCACTGGGAACTGGCTTCTGATATGTAAGGAGTTCAGAGGTCAGAGTAGAGTTAGGTAAGAGGATGGAGTTCAGTGAGGGGGTGGGAAGGCTGGGGGTGCTGCTCTGGGCTGATGCTGGGAAGAGTCATTCCTGGGCTGGCAGAGTGGCTTTGGGTCCAGATGACTCCTCACCATCCTGTCTCGCCCCCTCTTCCCCCAGGCTGTGGTGTATGAGGCCCCAGGCTTTCAGGGCCGCAGCTGGGAAGTGAGCCGAGACATCTACAGCCTTCAGCAGCCAGAGGACAGCCAGAGCCCGCACCTGCCCTCTGTGGGGTCCCTGCGAGTTCTTGGGGGCTGGTGAGGACTCAGGATCCTTCCTTCTACCTTATCATCCCTACTGGCCTTACCCTTGGGGATGGGGAGTGACCTGGACTGGCTAGAAGTGAGGGCAGCTGTCTTACCCACCCATGGGTTTCCCCTGAGTGAATCTGCCTGTTCATCTCCCCTTTCCCTCAGCTGGGTGGGCTACGAGAAGGAAGGCTTCCGGGGCCACCAATATCTGCTGGAGGAGGGGGAATATCCTGACTGGTCACACTGGGGAGGCTATGATGAATTATTGACCTCTCTGCGGGTCATCCGGACGGTAAGCAAGGGCAACTGGGCCATTGCCTCTTTCTGGCCACAGCCTGACTTCTCCCAGTACAATCTGTGGAGGGAAGAATTTGAACCCCCTTGCCCTGTCCTTCCTAGAAGTATTCCCTGAGGTCTAGCCTATCTTCCCACTGCAGCTCTTCTCCGGACCTCACTGACAACCTCACCCCTAATTCTCGGGTGGGCTGCGACCTTGGGGTCTGGGCATTCCCAGGGGTCTCCATCTGTGGGCGGGAGAGATCTGACTGTCCTTGGGCCCAGGACTTTGGGGACCCAGTCGTGGTGCTGTTTGAGGCCATGGACTTCGAGGGCCACGGCGTGGAGGTGAGCGAGGCATTGCCGGACGTGGAGCTGGTGCAACACGGCCCCTGCACGCAGGCCATCCACGTGCTCAGTGGCGTGTGAGTAATCCCGGCCCGGGAGCTGGGCAGGCGGGAGGCGGTTCCAGGAGAGGGGCAGGCGTCGACCCCGCTGACCTTCTCCCTGCTTTTCCCGCAGGTGGGTGGCCTACCAGGAGGTGGGCTTCTCTGGGGAGCAGTACGTGCTGGAGAAGGGCGTGTACCGTAACTGCGACGACTGGGGCGCGGGCAACAGCGCCCTGGCCTCGCTGCAGCCGGTACTGCAGGTGCGTGCCCTCCGCGGGGGTCTGGGCCCGTGGGGGGGCGGGGCTTGGAGTCAGGGACGCGCCCTCTCGCTGAGGAGTTCGGGCTGGAGGATCTGGCCTCGGGCTCCGAGGGGGCGGGGCTCCTGGAAAGCGGTGAGGACGAGAGACTGCTAAGCCGCGGGGTGGGCAACGCTGAATCCAAGAGAAGCTGAGGCTGACCCGGTTCGGTGGCTCAGTCTGTAATCCCAGCACTTTGAGAAGCCAAGGCGAGTGGATTGCCGGAGCCCGCGGGTTCGAGACCAGCCAGGGCAAGTTGGTGAGACCTCTTCTCTACGACAAATCAAAAAATTAGCCGGGCGTGGTGGCGCGCCCCTGTAGTCCCGGCTACTTGGAAGGCTGAGGCGTAAGGATCGCCGGAGCACAGCAGGTCGACGCTGGGGTGACCTTTAGCATGCCACTGCCTAGGCGACAGAGTGAGATTCCAACTCAAAAAAAAAAAAAAAAAAAGCCGGGCTCGGTGGCTCAGCCTGTAATCCCGCGCCTTTGGGAGGTTGAGCTGAGTGGATTGCCTGAGCCCGCGGGTTCGAGACCCGCCTGGGCAGCGAGACCTCATCTCTACCATAAATCAAAAAATCAGCTGGGCGTGGTAGCGCGCCCCTGTAATTCCGGCTACTTGGAAGGCTGAGGCGGAAGGATCGCCGGAGCCCAGCAGGCGAGGCTGCGGTGGCCGGGAGCGGCCGCTGCACTCCAGTCCGGGCGACAGAGTGACTCCAACTCAAAAAAAAAAAAAAGCTGAGACTAGCTGCGGGCCCCCTCCTTAAATCTCGAAACTTTGGTCTCTCCCTTCAGGTCGGGGAGCACGAACTGCACTTTGTCTCAAAGGTAAGGTGGGGACTCCGCAGGGAGCTGATGGGAGCACTTCTCTCTCCTCATTTTTAAAGCTCCTCCCTTTTCTCCATTCTCTCTGTCCCATTCCATTGCCCTCCTTCACCTTCATTTCTTCCCAACTCTGCCTCCAGATTCAGCTCTTCTCCGCCCCTGACTTCCTGGGAGACCACATCTCCTTCGAGGATGACCAGGCCTCTCTGCCCCCTTCCTTCCGACCGCAGTCCTGCCGTGTCCATGGAGGCAGGTGAGGACATGGCGCGCGGGTTGAGGGGACGTTGTGCTAGGGAATGGGGGGCATTCACTCATCTCTAGATATATAGATACATATAGTTCAAAATAGTGTGTTTTAAGGACGTTTGAAATGTTTGTGTGTGTGTGTGGTTATGTTACCAACCAGATAAACAGGTTAATTTGTTTAATTTATTTTCACTTTTTAGGAATAATTTTCGTTTTTATTTAATTCAGTTTTTAGCTTACATTTTATTTTATTTTTTATTTTTTGTGAAGACAAAGTCTCACTAGACTCCTAGGCTGGAGTGCAGTGGCACGCTTACAGCTCACGGCAGCCTCCAACTCCTGGGCTCAAGCAGTCCCCCAGCCTCAGCCTCTGGAATAGCTGGGACTACAGGTATGCAACTCTATGTCTGGCTAATTTTTTGATTTTTTTGTAGAGACAAGGTCTCACTGTGTTGCCCAAGCTGGTCTTAAACTCCTGGGCTCAAGCAGTCTTCCCACTTCAGCCTCCCAAAGTGCTGGGATAACAGGTGTGAACCACTATGCTTGGCCTACATGAAATATTTATATGGCTCCTGTCTTAGAATGTGAGTCAGGTGCAATGGTTCGTGCCTATAATCCCAGCACTTTGGGAAGTCAAGCCACTTGAGGTCAGGGGTTCAAGACCATCCTGGGCAACATCTCTACAAATAAATAAAAAATAAATAAATAACAGAATTTTATTTTCTCACAGTTCTGGGATGTCCAAGAGCAAGATGCTGCCCAATTCAGGTCCCCAGCAAGGGCTCTCTTCCTGTCTTGCAGAAGGCCACCTTATCACTGTATTTTCACAAAATAGAGACACAGTATAAGCTCCTGTCTCTTCCTTATCTTATAAGGATGCTAATCCCATCATGGGGTCCCATCTAATCACCTCCCAAAGGCCCTACCTCTAAATACCATTACATTGAGGGTCAGAGCTTTAACATATTATTTTGGGGGGAGACCCAAACATTCAGTTTACAAAAGTTCCAAAGCCAATAGTTTTCATCTCTGTTTATGCTACCTTTTCCCATTCCCCCTTTTGTGTGTGTGTGTGTGTGTGTGTGTGTGTGTCTGGTGTATTTATTGTTTCTTTTTGAAGATATAAGCAAATAAGTACTCATATAAATGTACATATAACTATAGAAACCAAATATATTTTGTTTCTCTCCCATCCATTTTCTTATGCAAAAGAGAGCATGCTACAACTTGGTAAATATACTAAACACACACACACACACACACACACACACTGAATTGTACACTATAAAAGAGTGAATTTTTTTTTGAGTTGGAGTCTCACTCTTAGCCAGGCTGGAGTGCAGTGATATGCTGCTCATAGCCACCACAGCCTCGATCTGCTGGACTCAGGAGATCCTTCCACCTCAGCCTTCCAAGTAGCTGAAACTACAGGTGTGCGCCACCATCCCCAGCTAAGTTTTTGATTTATTGATTTATTGTCCAGGCTGGTCTCAAACCCATGGGCTCAGGCAATCCTCTCACTTCCACCTTCCAAAGTGCTGGAATTACAGGCATGAGCCACTGCACCTGGCTTAAAAGAGTGATTTTTTTATGGTATATGAATTATATCTCAATTGTTTAAAGGACGCATACTCTAAACATTTTTTGTCATTTAACTATTTGGAGGTCAGTTTAAGAGCTCTTTCTTATTCTTTTTAACTGCATTATACTCTACATTTTCATATTCAGCCAACACCTTATTGATGGCCATTTGAGCTGCTTCCATTCTGCTATTGCAAACAGTGCTATAATGACTAACCTCGTGCATGCGTTATTTCATGTTTTTGAAGTGTGTCCTTGGGATAGATTCCTAGATATGGGATTGCTGAGTAATTGCCCATGGAGTTTTGTTTAATATTGCCAAATTCTCCTCTATAGGAGCAGTATGATTCCATTCAGCCCTTTCTTCAGTCTGACCTTAGTCCCTGCTGCTGTAGTACCCATTCATTCTTTACCTCCCCTGGGCTAAGAAAACACGATCAGGTCTCTGTCCACTCTTGTATATCTCAGGGAAGCCTGGGCAGGCCAAGGACAGAGTGGGCTCAAATAGTCCCTCACATTGCCTTATTTCTTTTCCTTCCCCAGTTGGATCCTGTTTGATGAGAAGAACTTTCAGGGTGACCAGCACATTCTCTCTGAGGGCGAGTTCCCCACTCTGACGGCCATGGGTTGCCTAGCCTCCACGGTCCTGGGCTCTCTCCAGAAGGTGCCCCTGGTGAGTTTCCCTGTCCAATTCTTTTTTTTTTTATTTTTTTTTAAATTGTAGAGATGAGGTCTCACTAAGTTGCCCAGGCTGGTCTCGAAGTTGTCCACCCCAGCTCACCTCAGCCTCCCAAAGTGCTGGGATTATAGGCTTGAGCACTGTGCCCAGCCCTTTTTGGTTTTTTTTTTTTTTTGAGTAGGAGTCTCACTCTGTCACCCAGGCTGGAGTACAGTGGCACACTCACAGCCACTGCAGCCTCTACCTGCTGGGCTCAGGCGATCCTTCCACCTCGGCCTTCCAAGTAGCTGGAACCACGGGCATGAGCCACCATATCTGTCTAATTTTTTTATTTATCGTAGAGACAGGGTCTCGCCATGTTGCTCAGGCTGGTTTCAAACCCCTGAACTCAGGAAATTCTCTTGCCTCAGCCTCCCAAAGTGCTGAGATTACAGGCATGAGCCACTGTGCCTAGTCTTTCCTGTACAATTCTAGGCAGCCCCAGAGGCAGTGGTGCTACTGGTGGAGCCCTGAACACAGAGCCTCTTCTCATTGCCTCGTGGGCTGGTGTAGGGGTTGAATTCAGTCTTTTTCGGAATCAGCCCAAGACTCTGGGGCTGCAAAATCAGTCTAGTTAACTAGCTATTCATTGAGCACCTGCTGAGATAGGATGTGGGGACTCTGAAAGAAAGCCCTGCCTTTAATTAGGAGCTCATGGTCACGTGGACATAAAAAGATGACACGCAGATCCAGAAGTGGAGCAGGGACAGAGGGCCTAACACTCAGGGGTGGCTAGGGGCAGGACCAGCACTGCTGGTGTGAAATTCCACGCAGGAAGGGTTGACAGGATGAGTTAGGAAGATGGCTGTGCCGCAGATTGTGCAGACCAAAGGCAGCAGCACCTGATTGGAACAGCTGACATTTACTGAGCTCATAGCATGTGCCAGTTTTGTTTTAAAGGTTTCCCATGCTAAGACTTTAATCTTCACCATAAACCTAAGAGGTGTGTTACCGTCATTATCTCCCTTTTCCAGATGTGGAAACTGAGGCACAGGCTCCAGTTCACACAGCTGTTAACAGACAGAGCCAGGCCCTCCCCCAGGCAGCTGGCTTCGGGGTCCAAGCTCCTGACAACTGCGCGTTGGGCTCTGAAGACAGACTGATTCTGAAGCCCGGTTATAGCGCCCTGAGCAAGCAGTTTACCCTCTCTGGCCTCAGCTTCCCCTCCATTAAGTGGGGATAATAATAGCACCTGCCTTACAGGGTTGTTGAAGAGTTATAATGAGGTAAAGCACTTAGCACAGAACCCTGAGTGAATGAGAACTGCTATCATTGCCAGCACTGTTATTGTTATCGTGAGGATGAAAGGAGAAGGTAAAGATGAGCCCCAGGTTTCCAGCCTGGCTGTTGTTCTTAGAAGTGCCATGTACCAGAGGGGAGATTTGAGAGGGAATCAGGGCCCAGTCTGATACATTCTGTGTCCGAATCAGGGACACTCATCTGGCAGCATCCAGGAGTCGGTGGACCTGTAGGATGGAGCTCAGGAGGGAAGAAGGCCTGAAGTACAGATGTGGAAGTTGGGGTGTCTGGGACTGTGGGGCTGAGTCTAGGAGTCTTTGTTGCCTCACCCTCTTCTGTCCCCGGGTCCCAGCACTTTTCAGAGCCCTCCATTTTCCTGTATGGACTTGAGTGCTTCGAGGGGAAGGAGATTGAGCTCAGTGGGGAAGTGCGGAGCCTGCAAGCCGAGGGCTTCAACAACCACGTGCTGTCTGTGCGGATCCAGGGGGGCGTGTAAGTGTGTGGGAGGCATGGAATATGGGGGCTGCCAGCCAGAGGAGTAGTGGTGGGACCGCCCCCTCCCCTCTTCTGCCCCACTCCCCTCCAAGCCAGCAAGAAGGAAGGACTGCAGACTGAGAAGGGTCACTGGCTCTCAGGGCTTGGCCCAGCCTGGTGGGCCTCTCAGGACCCTACTCTGCCCTGCAAACCCAATTCTACTTCCCAGTCTCCATCTCCCCTCTGGGGACCCTAATCCCAGGCAGAGGAGGCTCTGCGTGAGAGAAGAGGAGGTGGAGAACATTCTGATGTCCGTGCCTCTTCCTCCGCCTGTCTGTCTATCTGTCTGTCTGTGTCTGTGTTCCCCGCTGTGTCTTTGGCACCTGATGGTCCCAGCTGGGTGCTATGTGAGCACAGTGACTTCCGGGGCCGCCAGTGGCTGGTGGGCAGTTGCGAGATCACCAATTGGCTGACCTACAGCGGCACCCAGAGGGTGGGCTCCCTCTATCCCATCAAGCAGGTGGGTGGTGTGTCTGAGTTGAGCGTGTCTGAGCGGGCCTGTCTGCGTGTGTGTCAGTGTATTTCCCAAACACAGCATCTGTGTACCTTTGTCACAATTTTGCCACATCGTTTTTCCTCTTGAGCCATTATCTACTTAATCTTTTTCTCTAAATCAATTCACTTTTTTGGTTTTTTGGGGGTTTTTTTTGAGTTGGAGTCTCACTCTGTTGCCCAGACTGGAGTGCAGTGGCCGCTCCTAGTCACCACAGCCTCGACCTGCTGTACTCCAGCGATCCTTCCGCCTCAGCCTTCCAAGTAGCTGGAACTACAGGCGCGTGCTACCACGCCCAGTTAATTTTTTTGTTTATTAATCAATATTTTTTATTATGGTTTTGTGGAGTACAGTTAAGGGTTAGGTGTACAATTATGTTTCATTCAGGCACCCTGTTGATAAGAGGTGTTTTCCCATCCCCAGACAGATATTTGCTACTGTTAATCCCATCCCCCTTAATTTTTTGATTTATTGTAGAGATGAGGTCTTGCCAAGTTGCCCAGGCGGGTCTCGAACCCGTGGGCTCAGACAATCCACTCACCTCAGCCTCCCAAGGCGCGGGATTACAGGCTGAGCCACCGATCCTGGCTATCAATTCACTTTTTTTCACTGTATTCTGTCCTAGGGAATAATATTCATAAAATCATGAGTTTGATGTGTACGCATGATTTTTCTTCCTAACAGTCATAATAAATACATGACTATTAAATTTTCAAAAAGAAGTTTGTCCACATAGGACTGAAAGTGATCTCACATACCACCCACTGGTATTAAGCACACCTCACCTGGGAAACATTGTCCATGCATGTGTTTCTGTGTGTCTGGATGTGGAGCTCATTTATGCACATGTGCATTACATAGTGGTAGGCCATGGAACGTGTGTGTGTGTATGTGTATGTGTGTGTGTGTATATGTGTGTGTGTGTGTGTGTGTGTGTGTGTGTGTGTGTGTGTGTGTGTGTGTATGATGTCATTTGTGTCCATGCCTCTGTGTGCTCTGGTGATGACCTCTGTCTGTTTTTATGTGTGTATCTGTGGGAACGTATTTATGGTTACTCAGGCTTGTACTCATGATACTGCTGAGAATGTGTGTGTCTTTGGATAAGGATATTTGTGTAGTCCCTGTATTTAAGACTCATCTAACATTGCTGAGAGAAATCTTGGAGATTATTTCTGCCTCCTCACATTTTACAAATAGGGAAATAAAAGCCCAGAAAAGTGGACAAGGGTTTGCTCTGCAATCTTGGGCAAATACTGTACCTCCTTGGACCTCTGTATCCTTATCTTTAAAATGGGAATAATGTGTGTCATGGGTTTGTTTTGAGGATTGAAGATAAATAGTGGCCGGGTGTGGTGACTCAAACCTGTAATCCCAGCACTTTGGGAGGCTAAGGCAAGAGGGTTGCCTGAGCCCAAGGGTTTGAGACCAGCTTAGGCAACTTAGCGAGACCTTGTCTCTACAATAAGTAATAATAAAAAAAATTAGCCAGGCATGGTAGTGCGCACCTTAGTTCGAGCTACTTGGAAGGCTGAGGCGGAAGGATCGCTTGAGCCCAGCAGGTTGAGGCTGCAATGGCCATGAGCAGTGTGTCACTACACTCCAGCCTGGGTGACAGAGTGAGATGCCAACTCAAAAGGAAAAAAAAGAAGATAAATAGTATATGTAAAACCCTTAGAATGAGTACTTAAGTGGGTAATCACTCAACAAACATTAGCTGTGATTTTTTTTTTAATTTTAAAGATGTGGGATACAATTCAGGGTTAGGTAGACAAATGTTCATTATCCAGATACCCTCATTGCTGTGATTATTGCTATTATTATTATTAATGTCACCACCATATAAGACCCCCAACTGATTTGTGGCAGAGCCAGGACTGATGTCTGACAATCCAGTGGCCACCCCACCAAGGGTCTCTTCAGCATGGTGTGCACATTTACATTCCTACACACATTTATCCTTGTAGCAGCCAGAAGTGCCTGGTGCAGAGCAGGCTGGGTGGATCCTTGCATTTGTTAGAAGGTGTGAACTTGTGTGGCAGTGTGTATCTGCATGTTTGTGTCTTCTGTGAACTTCTGTGTCATCATGTGAACCAGGGATGTATCTGTTATTTTTTTCCTCTGCACACATCTGTGGGTATTTCTAAGAACACAGAACTCATGCATGTATGTGTGTGTTATACGTGTGCCCTCCATGTATGTGTGTAAATAAGGGATGACTTAGAAGCGAGGCCAAGGAAAGTTTGGGGGCAGGAAGCAGGGCTTGGGAACCTGATCTGGAGCATCCAGAGCTGAGGGTATTGAGGGCCTAGGTTGGGACATCCCTACCTGGCACCCCTGACTCTTAGCCTCTCCTCACTACCAGCGACGGGCTTATTTCCGCCTCTGGAATGCAGCACTGGGGGGATTCCTGGCAGTGCCGGACCATGTGGAAGACATGAAGGCGGGCCGCGTGGTGGTGTCCGAGCCCCAGGCTGGAGGCAGCTGTGTCTGGTACTACGAGGATGGGCTGCTAAAGAACCAGGTACTGATGTAGAGGCTAGCACAGGGATACCCAGCCCCAGGCATCACAGGCCCAGCTTGGGGAGTCCCAGCCCTCTCAGGAACAGGATCTACCCTTGGGCCACAGACACAGAGAGATGCACACAGAAGCCAGGACCCTGGGGAGGTGGTGAATGCTGGCTGTGTGCTCCTGGACAAGTCATGCTCTTCCCTGGGCCTCAGTTTATAAAACAAGAGTGTTGAACCAGGTGCTTCTAGGGGACCTCCCAGCTCTGATATCCTGTGACAGAACTTGAATCCTATCAGTAAGGATAAATGAACTCCGCAGACATTTCCTGAGTGCCTACTATGTGCCAGGCCCTGTTCAAGGTGCTGGGGATACAGCAGGGAGAGAGAAATGACTCCTGCCCTCCTGAGGTTTATGTCCTAGTGGGGAGAGATGGACAGAAACAACTTACATGAGTAAAATATCTTAGTCTCTTAGATGATGGATGTTCAATAGAGGAGAGACAAATCAAGAAAGGAGAATAAGGGTTATCAGGTAACCCTGACAAGGGGAGCCTTTCCTGAGAAGGTGACATTTGGGAAGGAGGCAGCCATGCAGATGTCTGAGGGAAAAGCATTCCAGGCAGAGGGAACAGCAAATGCAAAGGCCCTGAGGTGGGACCATGCCTGGAGTTTTCTAGAACTTTCAAGGCTACCTGAATGAGGGGGAAGGAGCAGGAGGTGAAGTCAGCAAGGTTATGGGGAGTGCAGGTCTTTGTAAGCTGCTGAGAGGTTTTGGTTTTTACTTGGAACGAGAGGAAGGGCTGACTATGTGCTGGATGTTGTATCAAACCCTTCATACAAATGTCTCCTGTAATCCTTAGCCTAGAGCACTATGGGGCAAGTCTTTTTTTTTTTTTTTTTTTG